AAGGCTCAGTTGTAAGCAAAACAAAAGATAATAATAATAAGCCATATCCCTGGGGAAATAATCACTAGGGCAATTTCAGAACAGCTATTTCAAGAAGGCATAAAGTTACCTTCCTATTTGAAATAATTTGGGGACAAAATGTACAGTCCACAGATAGGCAAAAAAAAAAAAAAAAAAAAAAAGATGTGAAAATGCGATATCAAAAAGGCTTTTTTTTTTCTGCAGTCACAGTTCAGAATTAACTAGCAGTTGTTTGTTTTGTTTTGTGAAGGCATTCATCTAGAAAGAAAAACAAGTTGACAGAGCAGATTAAGAGTGAGAAAGTTCCTTGGGCTTAGTTTTTTTTTTCCTTTTCTAGAAACCCCTGATAAAATAGATTATGGTCAAGAAAAAGGAAGTTTAGGGAGATGACTCCAGGAGGGAGATAGGATTGCCTAACTTAATTGCTATTTCCGATCCACCCCCCACCCCACCCCCACCCCCTGCTTTAATCCTGAGAAGAAAAACAAAGGTCAAATGGCCCAAAGCACAAACTCAGAAACAAAACAGAAGGGGCAATCTTTTTTTTTTTTTTTTTTTAAGCAAAATAAATAAATAAGCAGCACTGGTCTTTTGCTTTTTTGTTTGTTTTGTTTTGTTTTTTATTAAATGGCTGGGAACAGTAGGAGAAAAACAGTATTTCTGATTATAAAGCATAGAGATAAGAGGGAAGGTATCTCTCTTACCTTTGTTTAAATTCAACAAATATACATAAAGCAGCCACAATGTGTCAAGGATTTTCAGAAGCATAGCTTTTAAGTAATACTTAAATTAGAAGAAAAAAAAAAAAAGATGGAGGGGAAAGGAACTGAGATTTGCAACACTAGCCAGAACTTACAAGCAGAAAAGAGTGAGATGTCAAGGAATCTGCAGTCGTTCTGTTGAGTTTCAGCCGCAACTGACCAGACAAGAAACCAAATAACTAGTGTCACAATACCAACAATCATACGCTGAGGGTTTATTGCTACTGCCTTCTATTTTGGGTATTTGAGGGGAATATAGAGGCTGAGGACCCAACACAGACCTACTGTACGTGAATCTCTAATTTTAAATCATATTTTAATGTCTGCATGGTTAATAATCATCCATCTAATAATCATCCAGATCTAGAAACTCCCACTGCAGGAGTTGCAAAAATGACTAAGACAGTCCTTGATGTCAAGGAACTCATATAAGTGATAGGCAAATAAAGGAATTTCTCAGAAAACAAAGCTAAAAATGAAACATGCTATGAAAGGAAGAAACTCTTTGCTGCGGACATTCAAAGGAAAGAGAAACTGTGTTCTCTTGCGAGCTCCAGACAGAGGGAAGGGCCTCAGAGAAAGAGGTATGTTTGTATTAGGATAGTTACCATTTGTACGTGTACAGAAGGAGAAGGAAAAATCTACTATTAAACTAATAAGAAGAAGAAATATGTTTATTTCTTCTATGCTTACATGTTTATTCTTATTATGTTATACCTCCAGTGTTTATTGACAAATAGACTCTGTCTATTCAGGCCCTACTGAGAAACAGGACACTTTACATACTCTTAGACATAGCCTACACCAATCAGAAAAGTCCTATTATGTCCCCATGTTGCAAATGGGAAAAGCAAAGCTCAGAAAGTTTAGGTAATTTGCTCACAGTCACACAGCCAAAGCCTGAGGAGCTAAAAGTTCAATGCCAGATCTATCCCGTTCTAGAACCTATCTGCCTCCTAGAAAATAAACAAAGCCCAGATGTGCAAAAGTATCAAATGCATAAAACTAAGCATCCATTGCTCCCTCTAGCTGGAAGGAGGCAGAGAGGGGAAGACAGGGCCAGCCAGGACAGTTGGGGGTAGGGGGGCGCCAGGCTGTGGATGCTGGATTCAACTATGTGGGCTTTATAAGGCAGCAAAGGGAAACCACTGAAGGTTTCTGAGCAGAGAATACTATAACAAAAGTTCTATGTTAGCCTTTGGGCTGTGACTCATGAGTTACAGCTTACAATCTGAAATGATAAAAATCAAAGTTTGAAGAGTCTCACCGTGCGTTTGAACAAAAAGGTGTGGCTAGACACCAAGTGGAACTACTGCCTTATAGCTGTCCAGACAAATTCCCGCCATGCCAGTTCTTAAGGAACGTTCTACAGAGCAGAGCAGAGCTTAAGATAAACGCAGTGACTATTATACCACAGGAGCACAGGACATGGACCCGCTCATCCCTGGAGCTGTCCAAATCTGGTAGAAGGATAGCCCTGGGGACTGCAGGGTGCCGGCGGACCTGAGGAGACCCCAGGGGGCAGCGGGCACAGCACAGGCATGGGCATCAGTGACTGGCAAAGCCCAGACTCCCGGCTATCAGTCCTGAGCTCATTTCATCAAATACTATTGCCTTTGCCATTAAATATGTCACACTCAGGTGAGCCCCTTTCCCTCTCTGGCTCTGCCTTTCCTCAGCTGTGAAATGAGGACTTGGACTGGATGGGACTCAGATTTCGCAACTGTCAACCCATCTTGCTCTCCGACACACCTCATCTCTAGGAGGCCCACTAGTTCTGACCACATGACAGGCTTCATAGTTCTCCAATTCTGGCTGAGAACTCGCCACTGAATTCAATCTGGCCCAAGACTATCCTTTTCAAGAGCAGCCTGGTTCACTGAAGTCAGAAGTAGTTTAACGACATAAGGGGCCATGCTCATTTCCAGGCACATGCAGGGAACTCCTCATTCTATCATCAGGGAGTAAACACTTCTGGATCCACACTTGTCAGAGCCCGAGCCGACTTTGTTATTATTTGAGAGTTTTGTTTGACTCTCAAAGGATGGCATCTGCACGCATGGGTGCGTGTGTGCATGCGTGTGTTTATGATTAAAATTCCCAGGAAGCTAAGCAGAGACTGAACTTGTGGTGTTCTTGGGAGAGGGGAGGGAGGGACCGGATTACACCTTATTACACATCCACAGACACTCCTACAAAGCTCCAGCCATCACAAATGAATTTCCAAAGACACACAAATATCTCCTCAAGAGATTAGCAATTATGTAGATCCAAGAAACGTTGCTTATTAGAGTAGAGGTGAACAGGGAGAAGGTATGTGTTCCAGTCTGACAATCGTGGCTGGTAAGACAGAAATGAGCACACGGGTTCACATTTTGGAGAGAACTTCTTAAGCTTCATTGGTTCATCAGATCACACCCAGCAGTTCACCCACAGAGATGCCCAGGAGTCACTAATTCCTATCATCGATTCACTGCAAAACATGTGAGGCATGTCAAACCTATAGTGTCACTTTCTCTGACCCTCCAGCCAGGGGACTGAAGCGGAATGACTGATAAGCGTGTCACTGGCAGTGATGCAGGCTTCATTACAGAAACAAAGCAACCCACATTTCAAGAGTTACCTCATGGTTATTTATTTTTATAGGACTGGAGAGGAACATGCTCTCCTTCTCCACACACGAGAAAGGAAAATCTCCCCAAGATGTGTGACAAAGCTATCAGCAGCACTGCCAGACTCACATCTGAGATTCCTGGGAACACTGTGCTGTGAGGACCACACTGGACCACCCACGTTCAGTTCTGGGAACTGGCTGAGTTTATCTTCAGCTGTCAGGTACTTAAGGTCTCTTCCCTCTCTGCTATTGACTGATTTCTCTAAGACCACCAAAAACTATGCCATTCATCCAAAAGAAAGCAGATTTACACTTCATGCGTGCTTTAGCAAATTCGTCAGGAAGCCCAAGCAAGCAGAAGACAAATAAATCCTGGAGAGGATTCAGGCTTTATCCTTATTTCTCACCCAAGGTATTAGTCTAGTGAATTCCCACCCCCTTAGCCATCGCACTGGGAGTTAAGAGTTAGTCTCAGTTGTGATTTCCCCAGCCCCGCAAACAACTGCAAGTCTGCAGAGAGCCCTTCCCACAAGAAAGAGCACAGACCTTGCGGGATGGGATGGTGTTCACATGGATATACAGGGTGTGCTTTTTTGCCACCCTAGAAATTCAGCCTGGCTACTGGCTAACACTAAAGTCCAACCCACAAAGCTGCCACTTCAACAAGTGTAGAAGAGACGCTGACACACTGACATAAAAAGCCAGAGAGTGGGGCGTGTGGGAGCAAAGTATAAGTTCAGAGTAACAAGGATGGGGGTGGGGTTCCAGAAACAGACTAAATTCTCTCTGCTGAAGCATCCGGATAGATCTTCAAAATTACGGATGTGGATAAAATGCCCATATACACCGTACACTCCCGATACTAACTTCAGGCAGGTTGAATACACAAAAATAAACCCAAAGGAGAGTACTGGGCATCTGATGTCAAATAAGTCACTCCAGGGCTTTCCTCCAGAAATCAGAAGCCCGCTGTAAAAGGACAGTAAGTCAGCACTCGGGGCAGATACTTTCAGTGAGATTGCCTCGCACACATTCACCTCTTCCATACCTTCTCTTTAACTTTTGCTCTTTACTTGTTAGGCGCAGGGGGAAATAGGAGAAAACAGGTTGTTTCGGGGCAAGGCAACTTTTGACTGGGCTGTTTTGAGGATGTTTTCTTTTAAACTTCAGAGAGAAGGTGCAGCCTGGGTGTATAGGAGGGATGAGGGAGTGGAGACAGAAGAGGAAAGGGGGTGAGGTTAGACCAAGAAATGAGGCGAGAGAAGGCCTTATACTAGACCCAGCTCTGCCAAAGTCTCGGAAAGGGGTGCTGAGTGGGTATTTTAAACCTCATCTTATCAATGCTGTCTTCTTTGGGACAGACAAGGTGATGCCGGACGAGCTAATGGCTTGCGCCAGGTTCAGCTGGTGTTAGTTAGTTACACAGCCTGGGCCACAGGATACCTAGATGCGCAAACGGGGGACAGGCGGGTTCAAGGGGACCCAGGCTGAACGGGCCCGAAGGAGCAGAGGAGCGCGGGCAAAGGGGCAGGGGCCGTGGGGAGGGCTCGGGAGAGCGTCCCGGAGCCGCGGGGCGGGGGGCGTTAGGTGCGCGCCCCGGGTACCTTGATGTAGGCCCGCTGCAGGTAGTTGTAGGGCACCCTGCGCTGGAAGTCGCTGCGCACATCCTCGCTGACGCGGTGGCGGGACGCGGGGCCGCCGAGGCGCTGGGTCTGGCAGCTGCGGTGGCAGCGCGCGCGCTCCAGCAGCGCGCGGAAGAAGGGCAGCTCGGCCGCGGGGCCGGCGCCGGGGGGCGCGAGCGGGCGGCGCGCGGCGCAGTGGCGGGCGCAGCGCGCGCGGACCTCCCGCAGGCGCCGGTGGCTGCGCAGCGCCGCTTCCAAGTCGCGCGCCGCGCGCTCGTAGTCCTCGCTGTAGTAGGCGGCCACGCCGCTGGCGTAGAGCAGGTCGAAGGGCTGCAGGGGCCCGGGCTCGCGCGGCGGCTCGGGGCGCGGGCTGTCCGGGGGGCCGCCCCACAGCGGCGGCGGCGGCAGCAGCAGCAGCAGCAGCAGCGGCGGCGGCGGCGCCCAGATGCGCTCCCGCATCCTCCGGCGCGGAGAGGCGCGGGACGGCCACGCTCCCAGACGGCTCCGGCAGCTGGCGTCAGGGCCGCGTGTCCCCCGTCCGCCGGCCCCGCCGCGGTCCGGCTGCCGCGCGAGCCCCAGGTGACCGCCGGCGCTCCGCGGACTGAGAGGCGGAGGCCGGGTCGGCCGGCCGCTCTTAAAGGGACGCCCACAGCGCACACGCTCCTCCCGCTGCCCGAGCCTCCGCGAGCCGCTCGCCGGCGCCCCGCGCGCGCCCTGCAGGCCCCCGCCGCCGCCCCGTGCCAGCCGCGGAGCGGGCGCCGCTGGAGGCCCGGCCGGGACCGGGGCTCTCCCCGTGGGCTCCTTGTGCGTTGCAGAATGGATGGGAATGCTCCCGTTTGAGACTGGAAGAAACCCCGGCTTAGGCTCGGGCTCCAGTCCCCTTCTGGAATTTGAGCACGACCTCGCAGTTGGCAGGGGGGGTCTCAGGCTGGGAGCAAAGCGCCCGGGGGCCCGCTGGCCCAGGTGCAGAGGCTTGAGGGGAAAGGCAGTGAGTTCAAGTTCACAGACGTGTGAAAAGGCAAAGGAAGGACGTAGCCCTGGGCCTATGGAATCCGAGCTTCCTGCGCCCTCCCCTTGGGGAGGGACCCTCCCTCGCCTTCATATCCCGGTTAGGATGGGTGTGTGTCTGCCTTGGAGCAGGGGTGGGGGCACGGGGGGAGCCAAAGAGCCCACCTTTCTGTGCACAATACCACAGGACCTAGAGAACCATTGGAGAAGGCGAGGCTGTCCTTAACATTCTGCCCGTTAGTGTACCACCCGTTGACCTTGTGCAACCAAGCCTCAGTTTCCCCATCTTCTACAACAGGCAAGTGTCCCAACACACCAAATAGTTTTCAAATAGAATTTCTTATTATAAGAGTTGAACAAAGGAGGCAGTTTAAACTTCCAGTACCCCCAGGACTTAAGCCATGAGCATCCATCGAGGAATGAGAAAGCTGAAAGAAACGAATGCCAGACTCCAACGCACTTTAGCTGGAGGCTTTCCTATTCCTCTGCTTCTCCTCTCTCATAAATACCTTCTGAGCCAAGGTGTTCCCCTCTTTCCTGTTTGTTGGCGCCAAACTCTCAAAGATTCCAGAGAGCTTACTCACTGGACCCTTGACTCCCCCCCAACCTGCCTCCCGAAGGCATTCCTGTGTTCTCCTAGTGCCTATGGCAATGTCTCCAAAGTCTCCTTGGCCACTGAGATGGTGAGCAAGAGGGAAGGGCGATGGGAAAGAACCACAGGGTTCCATAATGTAGTTCATATGAATGTTCAAAATAAGTCTTTTGTGTGGGATCCCCACTATACTGAGGAGGTTGTGGGAGTTTTATGCTCCTTCCTTCATTCATTTTGTCCGGTTTGACCACACTGACCAGGAACAGCCTTGCCTTTGTAATTCCAAGGGACACCGAAGAAGCATGCTGTTATTATTTTTCTCCACCAAACCTCACTCATTCTGGCTCATCCCACTGGCGGAAAAGCTCCGGTTTGGAGCTGAGTGTATACTGAATGCTTTGAATGTTCCGTATGCCAGAATGTGCACTTGGATCGTTGCCCAGACTTTTCCTCTAGGGATTGTCTCTCTTTTCTGAGAAGACTCAGAGTCCAGAGGGGCGCCTGGGTGGCTCAGTTGGTTGAGCTTCCGACTTCGGCTCAGGTTATGATCTCACGGTCCTTGGGTTCGAGCCCCGCATCGGGCTCTGCGCTGCCAGCTCAGATTACCTGAGCCTACTTAGGTAGGCTACTTAGGATTTTGTGTCTCCCTCTCTCTCCGCCCCTCCCCTGCTCACGCTCTGTCTCTGTCTCTCAAAAATAAATAAACATTAAAAATTTAAAAAAAAAAAAAAAAAAAGACTCCGAGTCCCGAATTATCAATGCGCTTGTGGAAGGTTTTGAAGGCGAGGAGGTCCTGCTGTGTGAATGGGGTTAAAATGCCAGGAGGCCTTGCTACAGATTATCATTACATTCTGTGTCATTTCCATGTCATTTTATAAATGTCAACTAAATTCCTCTCTTTGGATGCTTACTCTCAATTAGGTATTCTAGGAAAAAGGGGCAGATGGATAAGCCAGGGTTCTTATTCCTGAAAGCCCACAATGTTGTGCAGAAGACAAACTTAATATGTGGCACTATAATACAAGGTAGAATGTGGTACATGTTAGATTCTATTCAAAGTACTATAGAAATGAAGAGCCTGCAAAGATGGCTTCTGGTGGAAGAATCTACAAAAACTTCAGGGAAGAAGTGGCATTGACACAGAGTCAAGAGCTTAGAGTCTATAACCATACCAAACTTCCTACTGATCCCCCAATCTGATCATGAAGGTTTTCAAACCTTCTGAATATCCTTCTGGCTTATTTCCCTCGTACAAACCCTGCATGTCTTTATAGAAAGCATGAATTGAGGCCTCACAGGTGCTTGAACACTGGAATCAACTGAAAAGGCAAAAATACTGATAACTGGCTCTCACAATGAGAGAATCTGATTTAACTGGTCTGGGGTAAGGCCTCAGCATTGAGTGTTTTTGTTTGTTGCTTTTAAAGTTTGCTAAGCAATTCTAAGATGAAACCAAGATTGAGACCACCAGTCTAGAGCCAATGCCATAGCTAAAGTCCATGCGTCTGGACTCCAGGTGCCATGGAGGACTGATGAGTCTGAGATGTGCTATCCCTCATATCCTCAGACATCTGCTCCCCAAGACAGGCAATCTGATCTGCTCTTTAAGGCTGGGTCAGAATAAATGTTCATGACCATATTGTAATAAGAGCCATGAAGGAGGGAGAAATTGATACCAGGCAATGTTCTACTCAATGGCGTCAACATGGCTGAGAAAGGTAGTCCTCTCTGGGTCTCTCACACCCTGGAACATTTTGCTGAGTGCGCCAAGAATGCATTTACTCTTTACCTGTGCCATATCTTGAACAACTGGGCCCTGTGTCAGAGTTTGGATTCACTAAGTCTGGGATGAAGGCTCAAAACTGTGCATTTCTAGCAAATCCTCTGGTGGTTCGTTCTTTCCTTCTTTCCTTGAACCCTAACACATTCCTGAGCCATTCTGGGCAAGAATCATACTTGGAGAATCACTTCTTTAATACAATTTCTGATGAAGAGTGGGTCTCACATTTTGTTGTGTATCCCAAAACTAGCAAAAGACACAGAGGCCCTGATTTTTTAAAGTGGAACCACGTATGGACCTTAATGTTTCTACCAAGCTCCCCAGGGGTTCTAGATCCACCAAAGTTTGAGAACCACTGCTTTAGTTAGGGATGTACCCCCCCCCCAACACACACACACACAAAAAGACACGATTGTGCGACAACTAGGGTAGAGGAATATAGTTGCACACCTGGCTTTTCATGGGTAGAGAGAGCACGATGCTAACCATTTCACGATGTACAGGAGAGCCTCCTACAACAAAGAATTACCCAGCCTAATGTATCATAGAGCATGGCTTTCGCACAGCAGATCTTATTCAGTTTCCTCATATTACAAATGAGGAAACTTAGGCCTACTGCATGTCAAGGAGCACTGGATGATAGTAGCTCTGTGAATTTTTTTCAAAAGGGAAAAGAAACAAAAATTCTTGAAAGTAAGAAAAAAAGATGAGGTGGAAAAGGGAGCCATTGGAAGTGACAGATGTTGGAATTTCTGCTGAGATGGGTATGCACTGGGAGAGTTCTTGTTACCCGTTCCTTACAATTCAGAGAATGGCCAAAGCACAAGAGGATCCATCCAAAAGCCTTAAAAGGGATTCAGTCACTTCCTTTCTTATTATATTTGGAATGAACCTTGACAGAAGCTTGAATTTCCTTTTGACTTCTGTTTATGAGTTGACAGCATCATCCTAACCACTTGCTTTAGGAAACCTCCAGGAGGAAGGAATTCAGGGAAAGAGGAGATCTTCAACTACTTCTTATTTCCCCCAAATCAGCTCAGTTTTTCAAAGCAGATTTCTCTCTTTGCTGCAAAATCCTTATGGAACAATGAAAAGTGTACTCAGACCTCAGCAGTAGACGTAACCAACACGTTCCATAAAGAAATCTCATTTCAGTTTGTTTCAATCTTGTGTAACTAGGGCTCCTGTTGCCCCAAACATCTTTGATTCCTTTAAAATGAAAGGAATAATTCTCACTATGCAACAACCCAACCCTGTTCAGCTGCTGTTGATGCTGGCGACAAGGGAGCTGTTTGGAAGATTTTTTTCTTACGCAAATAGGATCATCTGAAGACTATTTTTCCCTCCAAATAAGTTAATGTGAAAGGCAAACCACCAATAATCTATCACCATAAGAAAGAAAATGGCCTCCATGGACGGAGACGTGTTGTTTTTTTTTTTAGAAAAATTAATATTTAACTTACATTTAAAATCAAGCAGGAGTTGCCACATTCCAGGACTCTCTGTTCCCTTCCAATTTCCTTAATAGCTCTGTCCGCGTGCTTACCTTAGTTCCTAATCGAGTTCTACAATTCCAAATCAAACAAAAGATTGTAAACATTCAGTCCCCACTCTCCTGTCATGGAGGCAGTCTAAATTCATTTCTCGGGAGACTCGCATTTTAGTTGAACAAGAAAAAAAAATGACATAAGAATGCTAATTATTCCCAAAATAACTTAAGCTAAAAGCACAATTCAGAATGAAATCAAGAGAACTGGGTATGTCCTACGTGTTGGGTATGGTGCCAGAAAGATATAGTCATTTCACTTTCGAGGTCCTTTTTCAGTAAGACAGTAGTACTGTAATTTTACCAGTGAGAAAAATGAGACTTCTGAAAGAGGAATTACTTGCCAAAGGCCGCTAGTTTACAAGTTGCAGGGCCAGAGCTGAAGCCTGTTTACTGCCTCTCTCACAACTTCATGGCCGCTCCCTAAGCCTCAAATATCTTCATAGCTCCTGTCAAAATTCTGCTTTGGTTAAACTGGTACAAAGCACATTTTTTTTCTTTAGTCATCACCTTTGTTTTATGTTCTCATTCAACTAGAGTCACAGACTCATGAAATTTTTTTTTGCAAAATAAATATGGACAAAGTGTGTGTGTGTGTGTGTGTGTGTGTGTGTG